CATAATTTGAATATGTTGAAATGGATTAGATAATTCAAAGCTCTAAATACTGCGTTATACCTATGACTTCTAAATTTATTCTTAATATTCATCTTTCATAAATTGCCAGACCTCAGTGTGATGTGTTAGAGTAATCACCCAATTTACTTGCCTCCCCACTGAGATACTTACCTCATTAAGCTCTGTGAAAGTTTGACTTTTTTCCTTTTGGATTTGAGCTGCGACTGCTTTATTTGTGTTAGGGAAATGCTGTATCTTTGGTTTATAGTTTGTGATTAATTTAGACTTATTAGGGAAAGCCAAGTGAAAACTGAATTTTGAATCCCAGTTAGTTATAGGGGGGTTTACAATCCCTAATCTGAAATTCAGAAATCAAGAGGAGACACATTGTACAATGTTGTCTTAACCTGAAGTGTCAAGCTTACTTAGCACCAAACTAGATGTTTGGGCCGAAGTCCAAAGACTATCCGAAACAATCCCGGACAGAATCTTTTCAATAGTTGATATACAGTCCAGAGCCTTGTTTTTTGCTATGAATTTAAGTTGAAGTTAAGTTAATAGAATCTCATTTCAGGATTTTAAGGAATTTTAAGCATTCTAATCTGATTTTAGATTCATAATCATAAAATGCTGTTTTCTTTCTTCCATGTTTTATTTAATTTTTCATCGTACACTGAAGGTACAGGGGCAATTGTGAAAATCAAAGCTCTATTAAAATATGTATCTTCCCACCCCATTAGCTGGTTAGTAATTGTATCGGAGAGTAACTCAAGAATTTTTGTTTATAAAGCCCCATACCTTTCAGATTTTCGTACTGCGTAATTTCATACTTGTCAAACCTTTCACAAAATACCATGAATTATTTTTCAACTGAAAAAATACATAGCAAGCTCTCAGAGTAGAAAAGCATAGGGGAAGAGTGCTTTTAAAACATGAATTGAATGTAACTGACCCAGCAGTATTTTGTTGCTAGATCAACTTTTTGAATGAAACAAATTACCTTGTTAAATTGTGTAAACAATGTGTGAAGCTGGAATATCACGTTTTTAACTGTTTTGTGGATGAATGTTCACAGACATTTACAGCTAATGCATTTATTCCACTGTCTTATTTCTGCTCCAGTTCTCTTGTAAGCATCCAAAGTCTATTGATTCCTATTCTTAGGAACTTCTATAATCTGTTTTGAATATAACGTTCTGCTCTATACTGACAAAAGAAAATATGGGCACAGCATAAAATAGCACAGACTGTATATCCATCATCTGTTTAGTTTCTTAAGAAACATACGTATATATGAAGAAACATTCTTTTATACATATATATATGAAGCATGTTTCTTAAGAAACTAAACTGATACATGTACATATGCTCATGTATTTATGTGTGTATATGCATATAGATATAAAAGGGCTGATTAT